TCTGTCTCAAAAAAAAAAGAAAAGAAAAATTACTTCAACAGACATGGAACTTCATAGTCTTCTTCCAACTACTCTTCTCTCCTCCTCCTCCTCCTCCCCCTCCCCACCTTTCTCTCTCTCTCCTCCATACCTCCCATATGTTACAGAATAAGGAACACAGTGGTATACTGATGCGTCTTCCATTGCAGAAAGGGAACAGAGAAAGAAGCTACCAAATCCTGAGCGCTTAACACATGTCATTTAATCAAAAGGCGAAAGTTGAGAGTATTACAACTTTAATACAGTTGTGTCTTTCTTTCTTAAAATGTGTATACGTTTTCTGTATTCAGAGGCACCCTCTGTATATACATGTAAAGGTGTGTATAAATACATACGCATATATACTTAATGTATACACATTTCTCAGTTAAAGAGCAAATAGATACAGGCCATATGCTCAAATTATTTTGCTGGTAAGATGTGTGCACAGCTCAGTAAGTTTGCAGCTCACTTCTTGGGCTCACCTGCCCACCTTTTGTAGTTTACTTGCATGCTACCAAGAGTCAGCATTGTTTCTTCCCAACCTGTTTGTGTTAGCAATGCTTGTAATCATTTACTATAATTTAATTAAATTTTATATGAGCCAGTGAAATATTGTTAAAGAAAAAAAAGAATAGTGTCTGCAGAAGGTTAAATTGGAAAGTGGAAAGCCTAGTTTGCAGTGCAGATTGGAATTTTTTTTTAATTGCTATCACATCTAGGGTAGCCAAGCTACCTGTGCACAGTGGAGAGACATAATCATAAAAGTCTATGATTCTGCTTTAGTTTAGTTTGCAAACATCTAAGTTCTTGCTCCACTTTAAGGAATTCAAAACTGAAAATCAAAGATGCTGTATTATGAGTATAATTCATGCAATAATGACATGGAACTCAGTCAGTGGAACGAGACTCAAACACGAGATCTTGGCCTGCCATAGAAAGTTTGGTGAACGAGTACAGTTGGTTCTTGTTACTTGTTAGTTAGATTCCATAAAGTAACTGCAGAGAGAGCAGCAGACTGCTCCTAGGGTTAAGTTCCTGAGTGCCTCAAGTCACCTTTTTGTCAATTGATGAATATGTAACTCTTTTTTATGTGTGTTTCTGTTTAAAGGTACCTTATTTAATACATAGGATTGATTCATTAACTTTTAACTGAGTGGCCAACAGCACCATCACGTGTGCCTGAATGAAGTTATCTAATGCACGTGCTTTCTTCACCAGGCACACCACGCAGCTTCTTTTGCTTAGGGACACTAGACAGCACTTGAGCACTATGCCTGGGGTCATTTTAAACATTGAAAGCACCATCAAAAGACCAGGGCACAACATAGATAGCAAATGGACATTTATTTACAGTAGGAGAGCTGAAACAAAGGTAGAGTCTCTTCCAACCTCAGCTAGAAACGTGTGTGTCAGGCAACTCGAAGTTTCCATTAGTCTGCACGTGTCAATGGAGGACCGCACAAGCACCATGAGTTTTGATTTTGGATTTATAAATAAATGTTACCAAGTAGGCAAGTTTGTAAATACAGAATCCACACTAATGAGAATCATCATGATATTATTCGTTTATGTCATATGCATAAGAGTATGTTTTAGACATATCATTGTGTATGTGTGTTTGGTTTAATACAATATTTGAGGCATGTATGACTTATTTCATGACTTACTTCAAAAGCTCTCCTTTTACCTTGCTTTGATTAGCAAGCCCTTCTCTGCCAGGTGGAAATCAGAGGAGAGGCGGGCTAAGGATATATGCCCCACTTTCAAGTATGATTGAATGACCACACGCTCTTTCATTCTTATGAACATTTTTCATCTTACTGGATTGTTTGGATGAAATGAGTGTAGGTGCGTATTGTAGTGTCACAACATCCAGGACAGTGCCCAGCACTAATAAAAATCAATTTAAAATGTACTGCACAAAATATGTCTACGTAGTAAGTGCTGATTATTACAAGAAGATTGAATTATCATAGACATCATGGGGGGAAACACCTGCAGGATCCTGGGGTGACAGGTCTCGCTGCCCTTATTCTTGGCTTGAGTCTTTCCTCCTTCCTCCTTTTTTTTCACTTCTCAGGGAAGGCACAGACCGACTTCTGAGCCCCACAGGTCCCCTGAACTGTCTGGTTTATAAAGTACTGAACCAGATGGTGCCATAGGCATGAGTGCCCAGCCTGTCCTGAGCATAAATTTCATGTTTGTAGAGTCTTCCTGAGCCCTGGCCCCAGTAGCTCCCTCCAGACCTCTGGCACCTCCTGCTTTGTCCCAGAGGCTCTGGTCCTGTGTGGGCTAGCTAAAAGAAACCTGATCTTGCTAAAGAAATGGGCTCCTTCACATGATAACACGTGTGCTACAAGAGCACTCCGTGTTGGGGCTTATCATCTGGAGTTTTTACAATTTGAGCCCCCCCCCCCATATGCCTGCTGTAGGTAGTGGTCTGGACATTGTTGAAACTTGGGGAAAGAGGCAAAAAGTCAGCCCACTCCTGTTAGCCATTTGTTATGCATTACATTTATTTCTTTTGGACATAGAAAGGAGCACTTCAAACATACACAGATGTAGAGAGAACAGTATGAACCCCCATGTGCCCTGACTCAGTTTCAGGAGTTAACAGCTCACAGCCAAGTTCATTTAATCGCCTTCCCAGCCCAGATAATTCCAGAACAAATCCCAGGTACTCCATATTTTATTTATAAATATTTCATTACATATATATAAAAGAAAAAAACCTTTAAAAAGCCAAAATACTGTTACTATAACTAAAAAAATCATAGTTATTTCTTAAGATTATCAAATATCTAGTCAGAGTTAAATTTTTCCAATTCAGACAGTTCTGTCAGCTTTCAGCCCAGTTCAGAGCTTTTAGCTGACTGGCGGCCAAGGTGAGGCTATGGAGTGTGCAGTGAGTGTAAGCCTAGGAGGCTCGAGGTCAGGGTGGTAGAAGAAGGGAGTCCCATTTCCAGTGCCAGAGGACAGGATGGAGGCTCTCAGCGGCCTCCAAAGGTTACTGTTTCCTCTGTGTGCAGCTCAGAGCCTTGAATATATTTCAGCTGGAAAAACCTTGCCCAGAGTAGCTGTGTCTATTCTGCTTTCTTATTGAATCTGTCTCATAGCCTATGACTTAGACCTCTGGAAACTTGGGTATCTGGGCCCATAACATGAAGACTTTCAACCTCCAGAAGTATTCTGGGTTGTCTGAATCCATTCTTTTCCTGGATCCTTGACCACACTGGTGAGCTCAGCAGAATTCCCTCAGAAGAGGCACTGTGGTGTCTGTGGCTCGTGGGAACCCAGTATTCTAAATGCAGTTGACTGACAACAGGCATCTTGCTGGGGAGAGGCCGCCATGCTCACAGAGGAGCCAGGGGAGGTGGATGCAGGGCCAGATTGAGTTTTGCCGCACCCACCACAGCGTGATAAGGCAACAGGCTGCACATACCGGGCACTTCTTTCTTTCAGCACTTCATGGAAGTGTGCTCAGCTGCTGCTTGGGTGATTTTGTTATCTCTTTAATTTCAGAGAAGAATTTCAAGCCAAAAAAAAAGTTTCCATTGAGGTGTATGCAGTGTAAATGTGACCAAGTTGTGTCTCTTCTGTAAGACAAGAATAACAGAGCCTATCTTAGAGGTTTTGGGAGCTTCAAATACATTTGTATGTGTCAGTGTATGGAATGATGCTTAGCACACAGCACTGTCTAACAGAACTTTCAGCAGTTGTGGAAATGTGTTACATTAGTACTGCCCAATACATTTGGGCTCTTAAAACAGGCCAGTGTGACTGAGGAAATTATAACAGCCACATGTGGCTTTAATTGCCACTATATTCATTGCAAGTCTAGGGGATGATGTTAATGTCATAATTATTGTATCTTTTTTAAAATTTTTAATTTTCATTTATTTATTTATTTTGCAGTTTTTGGCCAGGGCTGTGTTTGAACCCACCACCTCCAGCATATGGGGCCAGTGCCTTACTCCTTTGAGCCACAGGCACCGCCCATATTGTATCATTTTAACACTGTTCTCAGTGAAGACCTAGAATTCAAAAAGCAAAGACAGTCTTATAAAGTGGTATTTGCTAAGCATCTGTGTGGCCCAGAACATTAAGGATACCAAAGAGCATCTCTAAAGTGAAGGGTCATGATTTTGATAAAAACCTCTTTCCTCAAGTTTCAACAATGTCCAGACCACTATCATGATTTTCAGGTAGGCTGCATTTGTGAGAATCTGTGAAGGAAAAAGACAGTTTTGTGACTGAGTGATTAGCAGGAACTTGGACTCACATTTTGCCTTTACTTCTTACTGGGTATGTGACTTAAGTCATGTGATCACAAGAACACTTCTGATTCTCAGTGTTTTCATCTGTTAAGAGGAGGGTGGTGACTTGCACCTGCCTGCTAGGGTTGTCGTGTGTGCTGCTCTGGCAGGGTGCTGTGCATTTAGCATGGGCTCAGTACACAAGAGCTACGGTTATTTTTCAGGTAGTGATGATAATTTCACAATTTGATACATAATCACTGTCACTTTTAATTCAGTTGAAGAATTTAAAATAATCATTTAATCCCTATCAGATGCCAGGGATGCTGGTGTGAATGCTGCTTTTTTGACTTTTAAACACTTACACAGTAAGAGGAAAACATTGAACTAAGGGAAGGGGAAAACTTCTAACACAACCCCTCTGTGTGTACTGCGTGACTCAGGTAAGAACACGCAGCAACGGTAGCTTCAGGTTCCCAGCTGTCTTCTCATGGTACAGACATTGGGTATTTGGTCATATATACATCTTGTACTGCCTGAAAAGATTTGATATCCAGAAGTTGAAACGTTTTTAGTGCTAACCATGCAGACTGGCTTCTTGATAACCTATTTGTTATTATTTTGTTCAATTGAAATGAAGCAACAAAAAAATGTAGCAAGACTAATGGGCAGGGGAAAGATGCCTCAGCTGCCGCCTCATGTCCTATCCTGCTTTTCTTTTAGATGTGACATTTGCTGCGTCACCTTCCGAACACACCGAGGACTGCTGCGCCACAATGCACTTGTCCACAAGCAGCTTCCCAGGGATGCAATGGGAAGGCCTTTCATACAGAACAACCCTTCGATTCCTGCTGGCTTCCATGACTTAGGATTCACTGACTT